AAGTATTGTTGCTATCTCTTGAAAGAGTTGAACATCAACCATTTCATTTTGGTACAATGACTCCGTATTTCTTCAACCTTCATTTTACACTTTCTGTATCATTCAGTATTTTACCCAGGTTGTTAAATTGTCAATTTTTAATTGTCAATGACTCATAGTGACCTCGTATAGGGTTTCCAAGGAGCAGCTGATGGTTTTGAACTTCCAATTTTGTGTTTCTCAGTCTGGTGATGATTCTGCAAAGCACACCAATACTGCAAACAATGGCTTGAATTTCTCTTCAGTTCTTTCAGCTTGAGAAATGCTAAGAATGCTTTTCCCTTTTTGTTTTCTAACTCCGGGTCTTTCCACATTTTATCACAATGCGAATGTGAGTCAAAAAATATCCGCACTCTGGCTATAGCATTTATTTTAATCAAATTTTAGAAAGGACAAATACATCAATTTTTTCAACATAATCTCCTCATTTCTCAATACACTTTGTCCATATGTCAACAGCTTGCATATTCCCTTTTTTAAAAAATGTTTTAGACTGAACTTTGAGCCATGAATGCGCTGTTTTCACTTCTTCACCAGAGGTGAATCTTTGTCCTTGAAAGGTTACTTTCAGGGGACCAAACAAATAGAAGTCTGATAGAATAAGATCAGGACTATAGGAAGGATGTTTTAACATTTCAAAATGAACTTTTTGCAAAATCTCAACAGTATGGGCAGGGGTGTGTGGACATGCATTGTCATACAAGATCACAATGCCCTTGGACAGCAGTCCTCTGCATTTAACCCAAAGTTTAGGTTTCAGCTCTTCAGTGAGCATTTCACTGTAACGAGCAGTTGATTGTTGAACCTTTTCCCTGATATTGTTCTAATACCAGCCCTTGAGAATCCCAGAAAACTATAAGCATCAATTTTCCAGCTGGTGATTGACTTTTGAACTTGTTCTTGGTTGGAGATTGAGAATGTTTCCATTCCATATTCTGCTGTTCAAGCTCACCAGCTGCTCCTTGGAAACCCTATACAGGGTTGCTATGGATCGGAATCGACTCGACGGCACTTGACAACAACAACAACAACAACAACTAGCCATGGACCCAGAAACTTAACCTTAAGTGAGATTCTAGGATTACGTTGTTCACATATGATTGCTGTTGTTGTTAAGTACTGTCGAGTTGATTCCAACTTATAGCAACCCATATAGGATTTCTGAGGAATGGCTGATGGGCTTGAACCGCCAACTTCATGGTTAGCAGTCCAGTGTTTATCCTACAGCGCCACACCAGGACTCATCATATATGATTAGCAAATGGAAAGCGTGCATGCCAGGCCATATGAAAGATGAATAAATTAGCATTGGGAGCATATCAATAATACACATTACTGAGCATGTGGCATGGATGGAGTACATTCATGTAGATGCTATGGTGAGAACGTTTTATAGGATGAACTATCTGAGTTAAATTCCAGGACACATTACTTACTAACTTTATTATTTGAGCAAATCTCTTAGCCACTGAGGGCATCAGTTCCCTTATTTAACAAGAAGATGATAATAGTGCACCTATCTCATGAGATTATTTTAAGAATTAAAACTGTCAATATAGAAATAGCGCTTAGAACACTACTGGATTCAGAGTTAGCACTATTTAAGTAGTATGTGTATTGTAAATTTTATCTGTAACTCAAATCAATTCCTTCATTTTCTTACTTGCTCTATGGTAGAACCTCCTTGCACACTCTCCTTAGGCTTTCTTCCCAACTAGAAAAAGTGAAACTCTATTTCTAATGCTTATATTCTCCAAGTAGCTTTATTTTTCTTATTATAATGGCATTAGCATGGATATTTTTATGTTATTATCTAGAAAATAAGGAATTAGAGATGTTGAAGCTTGATGCAGAAATAGAAAATATTCCTAATTAGATATCCAAAATTGCTTCAAGATTAAATTCAATAGAAACAATATACAGTGACTACATATTGGGCTATAAACCAAATTCAATCAAAATTTTGGTATCATGTAGACAGTGTTCTTTGGCTGTAATGCTATTGTATTAAAATCAATAATAAAACTGCATCTAGATAATTCTCATATTTTCTGTTTAACTCTTGAATTAAAGAAGATAAAATAAAATAATAAGAAATAAGTAATAATAAAACACTAAAATAATACCTATTTAATGTATCAAAATAATTTGTATTTATAATAAAACTCACTTGAAAGCTTAAAGTATAGTACAATAAAATATCTAACTTTAAACTTACAAAAATAGAAAAGGAAAGTAGAAATAATGAATTTATGAAAGGTAGAAATCAATCTATCATAAAGCAAATTAGAGATAAATAGGTGGTTCTTTGACAAAGAATGTAGCTCCTTGAGAGGAAAAATTCTAGTAGAGTAACAAACTTCAGCAAGATTTGCCAGAGAGAAATAAATGGGGAAAATATATAAAACTTTGGAAATGATAAAGATAAGAATGATAAATGCTATAGATATTATATGTAGCCCTGATGTAGTGCTGTTGGGGAATCTCTGGACTGTTAACTGCAAGGTTGCTGGTTCAAACTTACCAACTGCTCTTGGAAACCCTATACAGAGTTGCTATGAGTTGGAACTAACTCTTCAGCACTTAACAACAGCAACAATAAGAGATATCCTAATGTAGTCCTAGTGTGGCGCTGTGGGTTAATGTGCCATACTGCAAAGTCATTTGAACTGCAAGGTCGGCAGTTCAGGCTCACCATCTGCTCCTGGAAAACCCTATACAGGGTCGCTATGGGTCAGAACTGACTCGACATCACTTAACAACAACAAGGTATTAAAAACAACCTTATATTAATAAATTTGGAATTTCAGGCAAAATCGAACCATTCTTAAAAGTAAGACTGCTTAACCTACCAAAATTGAGCATCTCTAGGGCCAAGAAAGTTTTAAAATAGCTTCCAGAAAAATTGACAAGAGCTTAAGGTCGTGGGAATTTGGAGTCCTGGTTTAGTGCTGTAGGATAAGGTCAGTTTGAACCACAAGGTTGGGCGATTCAAACCCGCCAGCAGCTTCAGCAGCTTCTCCAAAACCCTATAAAGGGTCACTAAGTCAGAACTGATTCGACCTCACTTAACAACAACAATGTGTAATAAAAACAGCTTATAGCCATCCTCCCTAAGCCACCCAATGTGCCAGACAAATTAAAGACATAACACTCAGGTTCTGTAACAGTAAATGATTTATTGGTAGTAAAATTTACTCCAAAAAAGGAAACAGTAAAAGCACCAGCCAACCATTCAAACATTTTACCAACATGAATGTCAGGACAGAACACTCATCAACTAGGCATTCCACCTCATGGTAGCAAGAACTTGATTCCTAGAATTGTGAAAAAAAATTACTTTCAGGAACAGAAAAGAGTTAAACCAAGTCTTAAGGCAACATTCAACATGCTAGAGGTAATCCACTGATAGTTGCAATTTCCTTGCAAAGTTGAACCCAGTTCTTTTTAGCAGAAATGGAGGTCTAATTGATATAACATATACCCAATACCTTAGAAAGAGAAACTAATTTTCCACTTGGTATAACTACTTCTGCATTTTAAAATAAAACAATGTTTAGAAGCACAAGAATCTAGCACATTTTACAGTGATTGTTGTTGTTGTTGTTATGTGCCATCGAGTCGGTTCCGACCCATAGTGACCCTGTTTACAGTGATTAGATGCCAATAATTACCTGGTTAATTTGTTTTGTTAAATTAATACTTAAAAATATACATATAATCAATACTTGGTCTTATTCCCTCTTTATCCTAAGCAAAAAATAAATAACTTTTCTTAAATCCAGATATTGTTGTTGTTGTTATAAAGTGCCATTGGTTCTAATACATAGTGACCCTGTATAGGATTTCAGAAGCTTTAGGAATCTTTGCAGGAGCAGAAAGACTTATCTTTCTCCTGGGCAGCAGCTGGTAGGCTAGTGGTAACAGTCCAGCCCTTGTCCAAGCATATATTGTTTTAAAGGAATCTATTCCAGGTGATACTGCAGGATAAACAGTGGACTGTAAGGTCAGTTTCAACTGCAAGGCCAATAGTTCCAACTCACCAGCCACTCCTCAGAAACACTATGCAGAGTCGCTATGAATCAGAACCAACTCTACGGTACTTAGCAACAACATTGCAGAAATGTAACTTTTCCTTGAAAATAGGGATCATATCTTAATTTTCCTAGAAACTATTAAAGATCCTATACCACTTAATTTTTAAAAAATAAACGAGTAATGTTAATATTGCTATAAAAAGTGTCATTTTACTTTGTAATGCTCTCTGGTGCTTAGAGACCTGACTTCTACCCAGGGGCCCAGTGATTTAGGGTTTACAACAATAGAGGACATGAAGATACTCTAAGATGGAAGCCAGGCAAATCAGTTCTGAGTGAGATCAGGAAAGATGATACCTTCAGAGTTATTGTCTATGGTTCCTATATCCAAGCCCCATTGACACTGTGAGTGGGGAAATATTGGGGTCGAGAAGGAAAAAAAAAGCAATGGGGAAAATCTTCACAAATCCAACTTTCCAGGTACATTCCTATAGGCTATGGATTTAAGTGTTCATGAGTATTCTTTACCACATAACTTTATGACTAGAAAAGATCTCTGGTAGCATAGTGGTTACAAGTCAGGCTGCCAACCTCAAGGTCAGCAGTTTGAAACTACCAGCTGTTCCATGGGAGAAAGATGAGACGTTCTGCTCCCGTAAAGATTTACAGCCTCGGAAACCCTGTGCAGGGTCCATGGTATTTAACAACAACAACAACAACAACTAGGACTAGAAGAACTATTCACTGTGCAATGGACTCCACATGTCCAAGATCAGCTATGGGCTCCTGAGAGTATCCTTAAAAGGAGCCTTTAGAGAAGATATAAGGGGGTTTCAACAATGTTACAGATAAACAGAATTTTTTTAAAAATGGAATTTGTCCATGAACTTTATGAAGCCCCCTCATATTTAAATTTGTTTAAATTTATGCTTTTATGTAGAATCCCCTGAGTACTTTCTGTCGTATCTGCCTAGTCTTCACCCCATAGACAAGAGGATTTAATGCAGGTGGCACAAGGAGGTAAAGTGTGGCCAAAAGCACATGGATGTGATGAGGTACATGTTGGCCAAAGCGGTGAGTGAGGAATGAGAACATTCCAGGAACATAGAAAATCAGAATGACACAAACATGGGATCCACATGTGCTAAATGCTTTAAGTCGGGCCTCACCACCTGGTACCTTTAGAACTGCCCGGAGGATGAGAGCATAGGAAATACCAATTACCAGAACATCTGATCCAACCACAAACAGTGCCACTGCCAGACCATAGGCTCGGTTCACTGTAGTGTCTGAGCAGGCAAGTTTTACCACAGCCATATGTTCACAGTAGGCATGGCCTATGATGGTGGTCTTGCAGAAGATGAGACGCCGCAACAGAATGGGGAAAGGGATGAGAAGGAGTAATCCTCGCACCAGCACTGCCACACCAATGCGCGCTATGACTTCTGGATGCAGAATGGTGGAATGGTGCAGAGGATGGCAAATGGCTACATAGCGATCTAACGCCATGGCCACAAGCACACCTGACTCCATGGAGGAAAAGGCATGAATAAAAAACATCTGGATTAAGCATACAGTATACCCAATATCATGGGCATGAACTAGGAGTACTGCAAGGACTTTGGGTGCAGTGGAGGAGGCCAGAACAAGGTCAATGGTAGCAAGCATGGCCAAGAAGAGGTACATGGGTTGGTGCAGGGATGGGTCAGTCCAGATAATGAAGAGAATGGTGACATTTCCCACCAAAGCAAGAATGTAAAGAACACCAAGGGGCAATGCTATCAGTTGCTGGATTTCCTCCAAACCTGGAATGCCTATTAGGAAAAAAGAAGGCTGAGGTAGCTTCCAGCTGGAATTGCTAAGGGTCATCATCAATGACTTAGAGAGAGTAGAGGGAAAAGAAACAAAACTCATGATTTGTCCACTCCTGATGAGTTCTCACATTGTCCAGAGCTGGATACCATCTTCTTGAGAAGAATAAAGATGCTTAAACAGCAACACAGGAAATAAAGTTAGATGCAAGAAAGAGAGTCTCCTTGTATAGAGATATTTATTTAAGTGACACATCCTATGACTGAAGTAGGACACATTATTTTATCGAGAGTTGAGTAAATATATGCTGCTTTGGAAAAGATATTTAAACTCTACCATTCAATTACAAGGAGCTCTGGTAGCGTAGTGGTTACGAATCGGGCTGGGAATCGCAAGGTCAGCAGTTCGAAACTACCAGCGGTTCCGCGGGAGAAAGATGAGGCGTTCTGCTCCCATAAAGATTTACAGCCTCGGAAACCCTGTACAGGGTCACTATAAGTCGGAACCGACTCCACGGCACTTAACAACAACAATTCAATTACTTATAATTTAGAACTGTCAACTGTAAAGGATCCTTTTTATTGCCCTCGAAACTACACTATAAATAAATAAGCTGTTTTTCAAATTAGTGGTTTCCATGATACAGCACTCTACAGTTATTCCTTCTACATTCCCAACACAGTCTCAGTCACTTTGGGTTCTTCCATCTGTTTAATGTCTATTCCATAGTTCTATCCTCTCCTCTCTTCCGTGTTTCACACAATATCTCTGACTAAGTTCATTTATTCCATGGTTTTAACTATTTTTATACTTACATTTCTTCCAAATTTTTTTATTATAAATCAAAGATCTGATTAAAATACAAGTTCATCTTTGTATTTGCCTTCTGTACTTCATCTATAGAGTGCTGGTGTGGCACTGTGGGTTAATGCACTTGACTGCAAAGTCAGTTTGATCTGCAAGGTTGGTGGTTCAAGCTCACCAGCTGCTCTTTGGAAAACGTATACAGGGTCACTGTGGGTTGGAACCAACTCAACGGCACTTAACAACAGCACTGCATCTATACTACATAATCAATATATTCAAAATGGAATTAAACCACCTATTATTCTCCAAATCCTCTCATTTTTTCCTATTTTTGTGGATCACAAATACCCATATTACTGGAGACCTGTTATGGTACTGTAGGATAAGTATTGAACTGCTAGCTATAAGGTTGGCAGTTCAAGCCCACCAGCCATTCCTGTAGAGGAAACCTTATACAAAGTTGTAATGAGTCGCTAAAAATAAACTCAACAGCATTTAACAACAACTACCTACTCAACATAATCCAGAACTTTGAAAACTGTCATTACTCATCCTTCTCTCTTATCCCTCGTGCCCATTCATCAACTCCTGTTGACATTTATTTTTAACTTGATAGCATTGGGTTACATCCATTTCATCCCCTTAATACCAATGATAATGCTTTAGTTCTGACTCCTAACTTGTCTAATAGAGAGGGTTCCTGAGATCTTTCTGCTGTGCTATTAACCCCTTTCCAATTCACCCTTACCCTGAAATCAGATGGGTTTTCCTAAGATGCAGATGTCAACATTTCACCCCATCATTGAAATCCTTTAGTGAATTTAACCTATGGAATAAAGCCATACTTTGAAGACTAGCGTAAAGGTATGTTTTCAAATGCTATCTTTTGTCTACTACACTTGTTTCAGTCCTGGAATCACAAGGAATCACAAGGTTGGCAGCTCAAAATCACCAGCTGCTCCTAGGAAGCCCTATACAGGGTCGTTATGAGTTGGAACCAACTCAATGGCACTTAATAACAAAAACAACTTGTTTCATACTTAACATCCTTCCATACATATGTTTTGCTTGAGTCATTCTAACATTCTTGAGATTACAAGAGTACACCATCCTTTTCACACAGGACTTTTGGATATTTTTTCTTAGTTCCCTTTTACTTGAGTTGGTTCTTTCCATCCGTCAAAGTTCAGAGTTCACTGTCTCCTGCCTCTTTGAAGAGTTCACTGACTGAGCTAGGCCCACAATGATTGCATGAGCAGACTGTTATTCCTCCACAACTTTATGTTGTTGTTGTTAAGTGCCATCAAGTCAGTTCCAACACATAATGACCCTTTATCGGGTTTCCAAGAAGCAGCTAATGGGTTTAAACTGTCAACCTTGTGGTTCACAGTCCATTGCTTTATACTTTAAATTATAAAAATACTATTAGTGTCTTTATAGTTTGATTCAAGAGAAAGGGCCATAGCTCATTAAACTTGATAGTTATATGTTACTATGGTGGAGGCTGCACAATGTAGTGGGGAAAACACATTGCAGAATCAGACATGGGTTTACATTCAGATCTTTTCATATTCTAGGAATGAAAATTTCAGACTTCTTAAACTATCTGAGTCCTCATTTCCTTCATCTGATGGTAGAATAAATAATGCTAACTTTACTGGTTTACTGTAAAGATTAATTAGTGTGACACATATAAAGTACTATTGTTGTTGTTAAGTGCCATCGAGTTGATTCCTACCAATAGCAATCCTGTATAAGGTTTCCGAGGAAAGACTGTGTGAGCTTGAACCACTGACTTTGCAGTCCAGCGAATTAACCCACAGTGCCACACCAGGACTCCATATAAAGTACTAGTTAGTACTAAATTACAGACAACTACAATTTAGGTTAATCGATGAATTGTAGTAATCATTATTATTCACATTAATAGTAAATGATTTCTAAATATCACAGGCCTCTTTCATTTTTTCTGTCTCCTTTACTGTTTCAAACTTTTGATATGTCTACATCTCATCATAATATTATGAACATATAGTGTCTCTGTCATCCTCATGGCAACACAAAACGTCAAATAAATAGCTACTCTGTCACTTTCTTCACATGATTCAACCCACATCAATTCAAACAAAAAAGGCTTGAAAGTATATTTGTGCTTATACATGTGTGTTAAAATATATGTATGCTCTCAAATAATTAGATTTTTCCATATAATGTAGAGCCCTGGTGCGGAGCTGTAAGAAAAGTACAGGACCACTAACCACAAAGTGGGTGATTCAAAGCCACCAGCTGCTCCTTGAGAACCCTGTATATGGTTGCTATGAGTAAGAACTGATTCAATGGCATCTAACAACAACAATATAATGTGGCGTGAGGACTCTTGTGCATGTAAAGACAAAAAGAGTCAGAAACGCCTCCGTTCTTGTGGATTATACATCAATATATCAGTCATTGTCTTTACTATTTTATTTACCAAACACTCTGAGAACAGCAACTGTAATATCAGAAATATCCAGCTTTGACTGCACTGATAACGTACAGTCACTGTAATATATTTTTTTAATGAAGAACTGTAAAAAAATAATCTTAGCAAAAGTCATATGCCAGTGCTTAAGACTTTAATACTGAGAAAGCTAATTCTTTCTTAAATACCTTGCTTATAGGGCAAGCCCATTCTTGTGCTTTGGTTGAGGTGTTAGAGAAGAGAGGTGTACTTGTGGAAGGGTACCGTGGCTGTGGTAAGAACAGTTTCACTGGGGCAGGAAAGGCTCCACTCAAATTATAGTGAATGAACCACAGTGGCAGAGACACTTGTGGTTGATTTGAAACCAAACCACACTCACTGTCATCGAGTCCATTTTGACTCATAACAACCCTGTATAGGATTTCCAAGGCTGTAATTCTTTATGGGAACAGAAAGCATCATTTTTCTCCCACAGAGCAGTTGGTGGGTTTGAATTGGCAACCTGGTGGTTACAGCTCAGTGCTTATCCTACAGTGCCACCAGGGCTCCTTAGAGTGACTTGTTGTTGTTGTTGTTGTTGCTAGGTGTCATGGAGTTGGTTCTGACTCATGGCAACCCTGTATAGAATTTGAGACTGAAAATCTTTGAGGGAGCAGAAAGCCTCATCTTTCTCCCACAGAATGGTGGTGGGTTTGAACTACCAACCTTGTGGTTAGCAGTCCAGTGCTTATCCACTGGGGCTCCTTTAGATTTGCTTATTAAGAGTGTATTAAAGTAAACAAGAGGTCCTTGTGTGAGTCTTCGAAAACTTCCAAAAAGTTGTTTTTATTGTTGTTAAGTTCTATCGAGTTGGTTCCCACTCGGTGATCCTGTATAGGGTTCCCCAAAGAGCAGCTGGTGGGTTTGAGCCACCAACCTGTAGTTAACAGTCCAGTGCTTATCCAAAAACTTAGAGGTAAAAACTATCTAGCCATGAAGCAGAGAGTAACTGGCAAATAACAAATGCTGTTCAATACTTTCTTACTCATATAAATTCAATCCAAGTGATTTGTCTTCTGTGAAGTTGTCCTCAAATTATTTAAGCAGCATGACTTTTATTTCTTATTATATCACTTTACCTGCTCTGCCACTGCATTATATTTGCACCGTAAAACCCTTTTGTGTGTTCATCCCTAAAAACCAGGCACCGTGCTTTGCTTATTGCTACAGTCCCAGGTCAGGTTCCAGAATTCCTGGAATCCAATTGGTATTCAGTAGTGTTTGCTGAATAAGGAAATATCTATATGATTACACAAAAGAATAAATAAATGACTAATTGAGTATCTTAAATGATCCGGGAACTACAAAAACTTCACAAATCAAAGACTGGATTTAAAGGCTAGGAATGATGTAGCAGGAGGTGGAGCCTCTATGAGAGATAGTGACTGAGCCTTCACATTCCTCATCTTAGTGATGCTCTAGCAAAAAAAATCACTGTGGAAATCTCTGCCATATGAGGTTATGACAGAATCTTAAGTGTGTGTCACTACTGGTCGCTTCTGCTACTTCCTTTGGCAAACAGGGAATCTCCTCTATGGGCTGTCACCTGTGTCTCTCTCCTTAGTCTCACTCATAATGTCCCAGTCTCTCAATATTGAAAAGGGGAGATTTTCAGAGACATAGAGAGAAATTAGGGAGGCCATGATAATAAAGCAGTAAGAGCAGGAGAGACAGAAAACAAAGCAATCAAATGCAGAGCCTCGAGTGACAAATCTGATACACATGTTCAGTAAAATACAACTAGCACAAAGGAACTCTTCTGTTAGTCTCTGGGCTGTCTCTGTGGGTGGAATGC